TTAAAAAAAGTTAATATGTTCACAGATGACGAGAGCGTATGGAAATGGACATGAACTCAAATATATTAAGAAAGTCAACTTTCACCTGCCATTTTATTTTATTAAAGGGTAAACAGAGAAAACAATATTCTAATTCAGATAATTGGGAATCGGTCCCACTCTATTCAGATGCAATTTCACCATTCTCAATTTCATACAAATTTTACCTCATTCATATTCCATTCAATTCAAGAGCTTTAAAATATTCCAACACTTTCTCACTTTTATATCACACAAATCCTAAATATTTCTTGTTAGTTGTGTAACTAAATTTCATAAAAGACTAGTCTTATATCACCCTCTCTACACTCCCTCTCATCATTGGCTAAAAATTATTGAAAATTATAAAATCATAAAAAAGAGAAAAAAAATTATTAAATAAAATGTAAAACATGCGAAATTACATATTTTTTTAATAAATTTTAGTTAAAAAAGTATTTGAAATAGTGTGTCAAAGGATATAGTACTAACATTTCTTATACATAAAATTAAACTCAAAAGATACCTTCACTTTAGATAAAGTCAAGTTATTCGTTATGCCTTGAAATTTCGTAAGCAAGTTACAAGATACTAACAAGAAATATATTATCTTTTTTTAACAGAAACAACACCTTTTAAAAAGATGGAATCTACTGATCAAATCGTATAGTATACCAACCCAAGTTTGTATCATTTGTCCTCGGCAAAATAATTGCTTTACTACCTAAATATAAGTTTTTTTTTTAACCTATTAGGGGTAAAAAAAAGAATGAAAAAAAATCTGAAATGACCAAATTTTAAACCAATCCAAAATAGATAAATCGTATTTACGGAAGTCACATTTCACTAACATGATTTATAAAGTGAAAATATGTTTCCTAAAATCAACTTCTTAAGTAGGAGTCGTTTTTTCCCTCACTTTAAAAAAAAATGGAAATCATGATTTTCGAACTTTTTTTTTAAATATGGCTAAGTCATTATTGTCAGACATCTAGGTCTACAGCACAATGAAGCAAAATCTGAATGAGTAATAATTGTAACAGTGGTATAACAAGAGAGAATGTGATCAATGGTTGAGATTTTTGCTGGAGAGAAAATGTGTACTACATGATAAATTGATAATATACAGCAGCATGTGAAAGTTGAATAAACTATCACCCATTATTAAATTAAAACAATAAAGCTCTTGTCATTGACAACGGATCTATTGTAGGCTGCCTTACCTTGCATATTTACATTATTTACATCACAACAACACTATTGGTCAAGGTTTGTTTATTTCAGGGAATCCACTCACTCCAAAAATAAATATATCTAAATTTACTTTACTCAATAACTCATGTTTCGTATTAAATTTCAATGATCCAACCATTAAATTATAAGTTCTTTATATATATTTATACATATATATATATATATATCAAGTTTGTAATTTTTTAAAAAATTTAAAAATTATTTAATACTTCATTTCTATAATTTAAATTAACATATAAAATATCTTGATAACTATTCATCAATTTGAATTAATAAAATAAAATATCAAATAATTTTTTAATTTTTAAAAAAAATTATAGACTTGATTTATACATTAAAAATTTATAATTTAATAATTAAATCGTTAAAATTTGATATAAAATGAGCTATTAAAAAAAGTAATTATATGTAGACTTATTTTTAGAATAATATATATATATATATATATATATATTATATACACACACGTGTGTGTGTAAGAGAGAAAGAGGATCAACTCCTGCAATAACATGAGATATAAAACTTTTTAACATCATTTAATAACTTTTATGTACTTTCAATTCTTCGATTATTTTGATTAATTTCATATTTTTTGTCGAAAGTTATTATGTGCATGTTTGTTATGTTTGTTTTATCATTTAAAAAAGTCAAATATACGTTCAACTCAATCCATTCACACTCATCCTTTTTTATTTGAGTGCATGAGAATGTGTGTGGATGAGTCTTCAAACACACCTTAAGTGTTAAAAATATAAAGTTTGAAACATAAAATCAATTGATTGCATGTGTAAGTGTAATCAGGGCGGAAGGAGGGGAGACCTAGAGGTCCCTACCCCCCTATATATTGACCCCTCTAAAATTTATTAAAAAAAATTATATATTGATAGATGAAAATTATTATATTAGTTTCAACTTAAGAAAAGAAAAAGAGAAAAATATATGTAAGATTGATATATAATATGATAGAAAGAGATAAAAAAATGTATAAATAATAATGAACTATTTATAATATTACAATATTTACATATATATATATAAGTGTTAAAAAAAAAAATCGACTCCCCTCAAACCAAATTTCTGCCTGCACCCATTGTAAGCTTTTAGAGAAATGAAGTGAAATCTAGCAATCTAGATACCACTGGTAGATTCAACTCCTTTTCTCTAAGATTGCATTACACCAATTCATTTGCTGATATCTTATGCTCTTGGCATCATTGGGATTTCAGAAGATGAGATGAAATTTGAGAACTTCATCTCAAACTTTCAAAATAGAGAAAATATAGGTGTAATTTAAGCATCTTTAAGAAGCATAATTCACACCAATCGGCGAAGGTTTCTAGTCACCAGAAACAGTACAGCAACCAAACTTGCAGACAAATACGTAGCAACAATGTATATCTCACTATCAGCAACATAGCGAAGAAATAAGTATATTATTATATGCTCATCCTATAGAAAACAAGGTAAATGCAATCAAGAGTAAAATGTCTAGACCCTATACTCCTCAGAAGCCCTCCAGAAAATAATGAATCTGGTAGAAAAAAAAAAATTCAAATCATTAAATGGAAGCTCTTCATACAATGTTAGGATTCAATCGCAAGCAAGGTATTGAACTTGAGTCCCGCATTGGAGTACGGGATTTTAGTATGGGGTCTATGAGGCCTTGGGCTCCAACTACAATAGCTAGCTTTTATGGTGTGATTCTCCCAAGATTCTTATCAATTGGTATCAAAGCCTTCCCCCATATCTCTCAATTCCAAATGAGAGACACAGGTGGTAACACTGACATTGCAGTGTTCGCAAGGGGACTATCCAAATAGCCGGGGTGGGTGTCGGGGTTGTGGGATGTGTTAGAATGTTTGAATCCAATCGCAAGGTATTAGACTTGAGTCCCACATTGGACCACATTGGAAGTACGAGACTCTAGTGTAGGGTTTATGAGGCCTTGGGCTCTCCATCTACAACCGTTAACTTTTGTGGTGTGGTTTTCACAAGGTTCTTATCATACAACAAAATAAGCTAAGTACATAAAGTTATTGCTCTTCAAAGATCATTTCATTAAATTTTTTTTTTTAAATCTTCTATAAAAAAAAAAAATTATTGTTTACAAAACGTGTGTTTGTACTCTTAGAGGGTGAAGCTTGGTGTAATAAGGTTAGTACATTTTCCCTGCAATGTTATTGGTTCTAATAAATTGAAGTCTTTTTCTTGGAGATTATTGTTGGATATATTACCAACAAATAAAGCGATGCTCAATAGAAAGGTGTCGAATGGTGCAAGTCTCACATTGTGTCCAATTTGTGAAGAACAAGACACCAATCATTTGTTCTGCAGCTGTCCAGTATCTATACGAGTCTAGAAATATATACACAGGTAGGCTGGTTTTGATGTCGTTTTACCACACAGGAGTATGGAATACTTCACTCAACATAAAGGGATAATTGGAGGCTAAAAGGGAAAAAAGATTTGGTATTTAATTTGGCATGCGGTGACATGGTCTATGTGGTTGTTGCATAACAAAATTGATTTCTCTCAAGACCCTTTTGTTTTTACCCGGTTGTTAGATTTTATCAAGGTGCAACCCTGGCCTTGGTTAAATGCTTTCACTGGTAGAAACTCTTTGTCCTTTTCAGATCAGGCCAGTAATCCATTGACTTGTATCTCTATAGCTAGCCTTGCAAAATAACTCCCTACACTGTTTTTTATAGATAAGGTGGGGTTGAGCTTTTAGAGTGATTAGTGGGGTGCAACATTCATAACCTGTTGATAAAGAGAAAAGCCAGTGACACAAGCAGGCTATTAACATTATGGTCAAAGCTACAAATACAATGTGACCTGGATGATGGAATTACTGTGAAGGAATCTATGCAGGGGAATGGCTTGTACGAAGTAGGATAAGGCAGGGGTTTAACTAGACAACATCCCATTAATATCACACAATTTTCTTACTTAGGAATAATTGTTTTTCACTATATGATTTATTACTCAGTAAGCATAATGTATTTGACCTTTCTTCGTGACTTAGCATCCCTTGCACTAATGTTTATTTTTATTAGTAATGAAATCTTATTTGTTTATAAAAAAATAATAATGTCACTGGTTCTAGTTGTGGAAATAGCTTCTCTGCTTGTGGGAGCAGTGCATAAATCTAACCCTCTAGAGACCTGACAATGCACTAGGGTATAGTTTTTTTTCTCCTAATTCTATTTTTACTTCCTAGTAGAAGCACCAATTTCATGTTTATCTTTAGTCTGCTTCTGAAGTCACTTCAAAATGCCTTTATATTTTGGCTCTTTCAGGAATTAAAATAAGTGTTTTTCTCTTAACTGAAAATGCAACTTTTTTTTGATTGCACAACATAGCCAATCAGGCATCTTTCAAACATATGATCAAATGTAAAATTTGAGTAAACAGGTTATATAAAAGTTTAACAATATTAGAAACATAGCCACTATGCAAACAGAGCTTAAGAGAAAAAAAAAAAAAAAAAAAAAAAGGCAAAACTTTCTTCTAGGAGTTTAGTCTTGAGAAACATATCTAGTTATGAATTCATTTCATATGAACTAAACTTGGCACATCTAAATGGCATCTAGAGTAGGCTCAACAATGGAGCTAGTAGGGGAGGATTTTAGATTTTGCTCAACCTGAACTCGCCCCACATCTTAGGTGATCAAGACCAAAATTTCCAAACCCAGTTGACAGAGTATACAGAAACTTTAAAGTAAACATTAAAGGTGGCAAGCCATCTTCATTTCAAGCCTTTTACCATTCACAGAATCAAGCAAATTCAGTCCTTCAGCAAATCCACCAAAACTTGGACAGAAAACCCAAATGGGCCATAAATTGCACTCTAAGATTAGTTTTTCATTTCAATTACCTCAAAACATCTCTAACCATACACTACCTACCAACCTACCAGGCACAAGAAAATTAAAAAGAAAAACAAAGACTATATCTTGCACTTGCACAATCTAATCTGAGCAGTATCTTAGAACAACAAAAACCGCATTGCGCTCAAAGAAAACAAAGAACACTCGTCATAGTCGCAACAGAACTAATCCAACAGAGCAGGCAACTATTTCTACGTTCTCCAAAACCCTCACTAACCTTTCGCGAAACTCAAGCATCACTATCGTCGCTATCATCGTCGTCGCCGCCGCCGCCGCCGACTGCGGCGGCAGCATTCCCCGCGTCGCCGGCAATGCGCACTCCGGCGCTCGACGCCCGCCGCCGAGTCCTGGACGGGAGAATGTTGTCCAAATCGACCTCCGTCAGCGGGTCGTCGGAGAAATCGCTTCCGTCGTCATCGGAACCGTCGTCGGCACTATCACTATCGTCGTCGGAATCATCGTCGTCGTCGTCGGAATCATCGCCCTCTTCTTCTATCATTTTCCCTTTGCCCTTGTCGTCACGCATAATCCCCTTCCCCTTTCGGTCCTCCTTCTCCTCCTCTTCGTCATCGTCGTTTTGGAGTTCTTCGTCGTCGTTTAATAAATCTTTGTCTTCATTAGGGTTGGGTTGTAGGGTTGGGTTGAGGTCGGGAATAGGTAGCTTGGGGATTTTGGGTGGGAGGTCTGGGAGATCAGGTTCGGACTTACGTTTGGAGGGTAATGTAGGTTCGTGGTTGTTGTTGAGTTCTGCCATGAATGTGAGAGTGAAATTAGAAGAATTAGGGTTTTGCGAAGAATGAGAATGAGAATTAGTACCGGCGGCAACAATTGCTCGAGTCTCAAACCCCGGTCGCTTAGTTAGTACAAAGCTATTTTGTCCCTTATAATCTTTTTTTGTTTTAATTTAGTCTCTCGTTAATTTTTGGTCTCAATTTGGTCTCAAATTAATTAATTGGTTTCAATTTAGTCCTAAATTAATTAATTGGTTTCAATGGGGATTTTTCGTCCAAATTGCTTTAACGGTGTTAACTTTTGGCCACGTGAACGCCACGTAGATGCACACGTGGCATCCACGTGGATGAGAATTGTTTTGAAAACAACTGGACCCAGAATGGCCCGTTCTGAAACCGGAACGGGCCGTTCTGGGTGCACTTTTGGTGTGTTAATTTTGCATCCGGAACGTCCCGTTCCAAGTGCAAAATTAACACACCCAAAATGCAACAGAACGGCCCGTTCCA